TTGACAAGGATCTATAACTTTAACTCCAAGGCTACAAAAGGCCTTTAGATGATTGTGTAAACAAGAACTTCTTTTGTACCCACTCCCCTCCCATCACAGCCACCCATAAAAAGAAAAGGAAAAAAAAATAAACAAAAAGTAATAGGTTAAATACCCTTTTCGGTCCCTCTACTATAGAAAAAACCCTTTTTTGGTCTTTGTACCGAAAAAATCCCTTTTTATCCTTACTGTTTACAAATCTGGCACTATTTTAGTCCTTCCGTTAAATTTTGGCTGATGTGGCAGGTTAATTAACGGAAACACTCATTCCTTTTTTTTATTAAATTACGTGGAAAATCCACGTGCCAAAAATTGATGACATGCTAAATTTTTTTATTTTTAATTACTGACCCTCATCTTCTTCCCCGGCTTCTCCTTCCTCCAGCCTTTTTTTTTCCTTTTTTTTCTTTTACCTCCAGGCAAACCCAAGAGCTTGGGTTCGCAAAACCTAAAAGGCAGCCATAACCAACAAACAAAATGAACCAACCAGTGTTAAACTGTTAATATGAAGGAGAAAAAGGTTCGCACCTAGAATTTTATTGGAGCTAACATCCCTAACAGAAGAAAACCGCTTCAGAGTTAAACACTTAGTAAAGCTTCAGCAGATTAAGCAAATACACTGGCCCAAAATAAAAAGGAACAAATAGAAATGCAGCAAAGCCACTAACAGGTGCTTCAGGTTCTGGAGATTATCGAGTTGGCCTCCAAGAGTTCCAGTGAGATTTAGTCCTTGAATTTTACTGCAAAAGGTGAGATAGCAGGTTATTTTGGCACATGAGACATAATAGATAACCAATCAAAGAGTGAAAAGATAATCCAAATATTCTACTGTACAAGGCAAAATCCAGGGAAAAAACTGTATGATTTAGGAAAAATCCAAATCCCTAAATCTTAATCTTAATTCTATCTTCTTCTTCTTTTTTCTTTTTTTGTTTTTCAGGAAACCAAAATCCAAAACAGCAAGTGAATAGGTAGAACATAGAATCTTTTCTTTTCCTACATATTCTTGGCATCCAAACAGAGCTTCAGAGCACATAAAACAGCGAAATTCATAACGATCACCAATTAAGTTACTCAAATAGCATCAATTTCCACATAAACACAATCAATCGCCGCTTGAACCTCTAGAAAATCCAATCCAAACGAAACGAAAGGTTCGCACCTCGCGAACCCAAGCTCCTGGGTGCGAACCCAGGCTCTTGGGTGCGAACCCACGAGCTGGGTTCGCCGCGAACCCAGACCTGGGTTTGCCTAGGAGAAAAAGAAAAAGGAGAAAAAGAAAAAAAAGAAGAGGCCGGAGGAAGGAGAGGATGGGGAAGAAAT